TGGTCGTATGGTGAATAGTCGAAAATGATGATTTTTTTTTACTTTTTTTTATTTATCGTCAAAATCACAATAAATATTAAAATTAATTAAAATTTAAATTAAATTAAATAAATATATATTAAACAAACGTAAATTGATTGTTCCATCATCATTTATTGCTTTGCAAAAAAAAAAAACTAGTTTGGATTTTTAAAGTATTAGTAAAACAATTTTGGTGGTTTATAGTGTTAATAAAATTCTTTCGAGGTTTAAAGTGCTACCCAGTTACTCTTTGAAAGTTAAAACTGTGATTTTTCCGATTATAATATCATACTAGGATTTGACCCGCGGTACACCGCGGGGTAAATATATATATTTGTTATAAATTTATGATATTGTTGTATTAATTTGTATGTTTTCTTGGTATAAACTTATGTTTGCAATATTTGGTATTAATAAGCATATTTTGTAAATATATTGTTTGTATTAATTTTGATGTTTTCTTGGTATAAACTTATATTTTGTAAACTTATGTTTGCACTTCAAGCAATATTTTGTATGTTTTCTTCCTATTCAATATCACTTAAAAACTCATTAATTTTGTATGTTTTCTTGTTATAAACTCATAAATTTATGATAAGATTTTATAATTGTATTTTGATTGTTAAATCTAGGACTTCACCCGTGGTATATCGTCTCATATTAATATCGATCCAACCCCGTTCCACCATATAATCATGTCTCCTGAAATTAAACATCATTAAAAATTTTAAGTATTATAGAAGATAGTTTAATGTCTTTTATTTTTTTATTTTGAACATTGTTATGATAGATAAATTAATTTTATGATAGATAAATTGAAAAACTTGTCACATATAAGATTGCAAACGTTGATTTATTTTAATTAATTGTTACATGTTCTAAGACTGTGTTGGAAATTTATGATTCCATCTCGTCCCCGTCCCATAATTCATATTCTCGTCACATTTCCTTAAAATCATGTTGTCAAAATTTATGGGAATGAATCCCTTTATTCCATTAATTGAGTAATATATATCCGTTTATTTTTAAATTCGAATCACAATATATGCTTCAAAAATTCTACATTTTTATTAACTTATGTATTATATGATAATTCAAATCAATTAAAACTTTTGAAACAAACTAAAAGAGAATCATAATCTTAAATATAATTCTGAATTAACGTTAATGGTTGAATAATTAGGTAAGGAATATAACATTTATTTAGATTGGTTGTTGTAATTAGTCTCCAATTAGCTTTATTTTTCTCGATTTTAGTTGTGATATACTTGTAGAGAATTATGATTCAATTCAGAGTTAATGGTTTTGTAAGCGTTCATTTGTCATATTTGTTAACCTGATCACAAAAATCTTTCCATAAAATACTCCCATGAAAATCCGTTTAAATCTTTTTGGATAGATATTAATCCTATTCGGTTTGCCAACAATTTTCTTATTTCAAATCATACCTTTTAAGTGCTAATTACTTAAAAAGTTTTGAATATGCAATTGTTTTATCAAGGAATCATTCACA